TGTGACGTAGTGGGGGTACCTGGCTGGTTTCTATGCTGCTGGCTCTGGGGTGGCCCCACTGGCTGCCGTGGGTACCAGGACCCAGCCAAACAGGATGAGTCACTATGCAAACCAGTGGCCAGACACCCCCCATGGGGAGGAACAAAGGAAGGTGGAATGCGGCCCTGGCTGGGGGGCAGGGCTGGAAGTTAGTGAGTTAGTTACTGTGGGGGAGCATGGAGGAGACAGCCTAGGGAGAGGAGCTGGAGTTTAGGGGCCCAGTCTCCCCCCAACTCAAGGGGGCCTGAGGCATCCTAGCCCAATTCTGTGACCAGACTACATCTGTGCTATGCTGTATCCTGGAGAGGCAATAAACTTCCTCTATTCCACTGGCTGGTGCAGTCTGTTTGTGCCATCTCGGGGTGCAGGAGACGGGGAACCCCCAACACGCCGTCACACCATGTGAGCCAAAAGATACTCACCAGTAGCTATTAATAGTACGGGTCATATGACACACCATAGAGCAGTTCTGATTTTAGCCAGTAGGTAGCATTGACATGTGTGCTCATGCACCCAAAACTAACCAATTTATTTATTTCCCATTTTCTGTTACATTGGCATTAGATGAAGAATAGAGGTGAGGGACCATTTTTTGTGTAGAGAATTTTCCTGAAAAAAACCCACCAGTTTCTGTTTCAACCAAACTTTTTTGAGGAAATAAAATCAAATCTGATTAAACTCTTTTTGTCCCATTTTAACTTTGTATCATTTCAGTTCAAAACTTCCTGTGGGAAAACTAATTTTTGGACACAATTTCCCACAAGAACAAAACCTTGCGTTTCCATCCAGCTATAATTGATAGCTGCTGCCCTGGCATGGGCCAGCCCAGAATAGCTTAACAAAGGAGGGTTTCGAAAGTGCCTTGGCGACGTAGGGGCACCGTTCTGATTTTCGCCGTTTAGTTCACACATTCGATGCCTGTCAGAACAGAGCGGTTTCAAACAACTCTCCTGTGCGCCCAGGCCTTTCAAAGCAGGAGAGAGGCTGCCGCCTGCAGGTGCGAGCCATGGACACGAGAGGGCGAGTCTGCAGCAGAGCGGGAAGGGCTCAGAGGGGCTGTGGGAGGAACTGACAGACCGTTTCTCCAAGTGCTGGGATTTCCTAGGAGAAAGCCCTGCAGGGAATCCTGCTCCCCCCCCCGGCTTTCACCTCACTAGTCTGCGGGAATTTAATTTTCCTGCTTTGTCACTTGTATCTGACACCAGCTGCCTCCTCGTCCCCTCACCGCCCGTGCCAGGAAACCCTCCTCTCCAGGGGTTCATGCAGGAGCAGTGGGCCAGCAGCACCAGTTGATTTCTCAGAAAGACACCAAGGCTCTGTGCTGCCGGGCCCAGAGGTGCTGGGCTCTGACCTGCTGGGCCTGGAAGATCTGAGCTGCCGGGCTCCGAGGTGCCGGGCCAGAGGTGCCGGGTTCTGAGCTGCTGGGCTCCGAGGTGCCGGGCCAGAGGTGCCGGGTTCTGAGCTGCTGGGCTCCGAGGTGCCGGGCCAGAGGTGCCGGGTCTCTGTCAAGACACCAAGGCTCTGCACTGCCAGGCCCAGAGGTGCTGGGCTCTGACCTGCTGGGCCTGGAAGATCTGAGCTGCCACCTGCCGGGCCCAGAGGTGCCGGGCTTCAACCTGCCAGGCCCAGAGGTGCTGGGCTCTGACCTGCCAGGCCCAGGGGTGCCGGGCTCTGCCCTGCCGGGCCCAGAGGTGCCGGGCTCCCACCTGCCGGGCCCAGAGGGG